CACGTCAGTGTATTACTGTCAGTGTACCAGTGTAAGTGATACTGTGCCAGTGTATCAGTGTCAATGTGCACATTCCAGTGTATTACTCTCAGTGTCCAGGTGCCAGTGTATCTATTTCGGCGATAGTGTTTCAGTGTCAGTGTCTTACCAACAGGTCGCAGCCCTGTGTGATGAAGGAACGAGTGTGGTTCCGAGGCACCACTGCCTGCACTAATGGCACACCATCACTAACCACCTGCACAGAGAAGACACACTTACTTACTTTCAGACATAATGCTCTTGCGTTTGTAATACCATTTCATACCGTTTTGTACTTCAAATTTTATAACTAAATAATTCCTAAATTAACTTAATTACTAAATGGTAATTTGCAAAGTACACAACTTTTTGAAAATATAGAATATTCCTTGAACTCTGAATTGCACGCAAATGAATTCCAAACACAGGGAACAGCAGATGTTTGTTGTCTAAAAGAAGAAATGTTCAATCCCTACAGGCACAATAAACAAATGGTATTTGGAGACCAAGTTAAAATCTGTAAATTAAGATTTTAAAGGGATATAAACAACATTGAGTTGAGGGAACATCCGTAATTATGAGACATGAATTATTTTGAAATATGGCTAAAGTTTCCCAGGGAAGACTGACTGAAACCCTTCTGCCATGTTTCTGTGTGTGGGACTGAGCCAGCTGTGGCTCCTACATCCTGCTAAAAATCATCTGTAGCCAAGAGGTTCACACTGGGGCTGCTGACCTCCACGAAGGCTTTGAGTTTTCCCAGGTGCTCGAACAGGTTGGGAGGCAGGGTATCCAATCGGGCCTGTCGCCGGGAGGCGCTCTGCGCGGACATGCGGGGGGGGTGGGGCTCCTGCAGAGAGGTGGGCGGAGTCACACTCATGCTCAACACAGAGGACAGTTCTATTCTCAGGACGAAGCTACACCTCATGGCCCTTTCACCATTGACAGAGAACAGGACTCTGAAAACCACCTGCATTTGGATTAAAACACCTTTCTGGATAATGGGGTAATGGGGTAGGGCACAAATTCCTCTTTTTCCAAAGCAACTGAACTGTACCAATAACTTACACCCAAAGAAGGCTCCATAGCTGAAAAGTTGTTTCCTTTCTTTTCTTTCCAGCATGGAATAAACCTTTAACTTGTTCTTTTGTACCAATAACTATACTTATATTATAGGCCTCTGGAGACAGACATGGTCCTCACAACAGTAAACCTCTGCTCTCTTCCTGAGTTTTTTGGATGTTATCATGTCCCTGGTTAAGCCAGACAATCACCAGTCACTCTATACAGATTATTACCAAAACACATTCTTCCTGTCTGCTAAAATATCCACTCTGAGGGCCACTGCTACTACTACTTCACATCTAGTTGAAGCTGCAGGACAAGAGAAAACATAGCTAATTGGCAAAGTTATCAGAAACAGCAAGATACATCTGAGTTTGCATGCAGGATCTCTCATACAGAAAAACGATTTTTCCAAGAAGCCCATGGTGATCATATAATATCACAAATATTCCAATTAAATTTTGTCCATTCATTCCTCTGCTGCCGAATTAAAAAAAAAAAACCCACACTGCTCTACAGTGGTTGGCACTGAAGGCTATATAATGCTGTGGTCGACCCCAGCTGAACCTTCACCTTGAGCAGTTGGCAGGGAGTCTGTCCGAAGTTGCTGATGATCCCTTCCAGCGCCTTCCGCTCCGTCTCGTTCGCGATGGCGTCGAGGTCCACGGCCCCTGCAGACACACAGGCAGCACTGACAGCTGAAGACTCAATTCAGAAACCCGCCTTCCTCCAGCACAGAGAAACCGCACATGGGAGCGTCGAGGTGTCTCACAAATCTCCAGCTATACAGACCCTGTCCGAGTTTTAATCTTGATTGGAACTTGTGAGACGAGGAGATTTACCCTTTTCCAAAACAGCGAGATGAACTGAGGAGGGGGAAGGGGGGGGGGGATTTCTTTGTGGATGGAGGCAAAGGAGAACGTGAAGCGAGAGGAGGCAGGGAGAGCGTGTGGCCCATACCTTCATAGGTGCAGTAGTAGAAGACGTTGAGGGCCTCCACAGCCTCAGGCCCCCTCTGCTTGTACCCGAAGATGAGGTCGATCCACTCGTGCAGGTGCGCGGACACGTGCTCCGACTCCTGCAGACACAGCGGGTCAGGGCTAGTGTCACAACAGCCACCATGTCAGCAGCGATGCTTGTAAATCCGCACCATGAAAGCACAGACCACTAGGCTTAAGAACAGCTTCTACCCTACTGCAGAATACATCACCAACAGCCAACTGCAATGCCTCAGACTCAATGTACATCCGCACTATGCACTTTTTGCATGGTCTGCCATGTTTTTTTCCTACTACTACACATTTATTGTTCTCCACAATATATGTATTGCTCCCGTTGTTATTATTTTTTATGTTTGTTATCTACTGTCTACATTCTGTGGTGTTGTACTGTGTATGTCGGTGCAAATAAAAATTTCAATGTACGTCTCTAGTCTATCGACAAGTGGGTGGTCAGTGTCATTCACAGGCCTGCACATTTCTGTCCCAGAAGGTGCACATTACATCTTTTGACAGTTTACAGCCTTCTCGTTAATACTGAATTATCCTCCCGTTGCTGAAGTGTTCAAGTGTTAGGAGTGTTAAATCCTTTTTGTGTCTACCTTTTTTAACGACACAATCGGCCAGCGTTGTGGAACAGTAAAGAAAAACAACAAGAGCAAGATGGCTTTGGTTATCTTCTATTGGTAACTTTAAATACTAACACTGAAAGGGGGGCATTTCTCAATAGCCATCTCCCATTTTAACTAGCTTTCTCAGTTTGTCTGCATGTCTTACAAATGCATCAGGGATCCACACAATTACCAAAGCCTTCCTGTGTTTCCTGATGAAGTCCTCCCGGGACTCAGCCCAGCGGGGCAGCACCACATCGCTAACTTTGTCCTGGGACATCTGCAAACAGCCTAGGTCAAACCCTGAAGGAGAGAAATTCGAGCATGTTTGTTAACTTTCTTTCAAATTAATTAGCGTTACTGTTCCATACACTTCCCTGTTGTAAACACTTTGGCAAAAAAGGTGTAAAACAGGTGAATTTCGTTTGGAACCAAAAAGGGAAAGACAGGGAAAGAGAGGGAGAAGAGATAAAAGGGGGAGAGCAGAATGACAAACTGGGCATCAAGGGGAAACAGATTAAAGGCTGATTTTCATACGCAAGCTCAACGTATCAACAAAGATTTCTGAGAGAAACACAGAAGCACAGCCCAAAGAACAGACATGCAGGCAACAGGGGTCGCTGTGCTGTGGAGAGACTCTAGCCAACACATCTAAATTAAGCTGAGTGCCACTACTTAGGCAATCAAGGTCCCAGTCTGGTAGAGACATTGACTAGGGCTTGAGCCCACGTCTGTAAAGCTCAGCCTGCACTCAGTCAACCAACGTTATCTTCTGAGCCCCTCAAGAGGCCCTGAGCCTGAGCTGCTTTGACATTGTAGACAATACAGATGCTTGGTGAAGTGGGACATGTAAATATTGCACCTATTGAGCTGTTCAATATTACCACTTCACCTCACTAGGAAAGGTAGCAGCTACAGCAACCATTTTCCTTCCTGGGAAAGGCACTGACACCTGCTTTCTATCCCACATTTCTAGCCTTTCCTCTTTAAACTTCAACGTTTTGTCTGTTCTCCTTCTTTTTCCACTCTTACTGTTCATGTTCTCCAAGAACTCGGGGAAGTAGAAAAACTCGGGGATTAACTCCTTCACGTCTGCTGGGCTCTCCATGCGCGCCTGCCAGGCAGCTGCGACGGAGTGGAACTGTCGGTCCGCACAGTCAAACCTGCGGACGGTACAGAAGTCAACCAGGTCACGCCCGCGCATCTCAGATGCAGTGCAAGTTCAACACACAGGCTGACAAGACATGGCATTAATGCCTGCTTTTGTCCTGTTTTCTCTCGGCAGGTTGCACATTTGTACAAGAGAGTCTCTGTAAGAGCATGCAAACATGTCAGAGAAGTGTTATCTCACCTGCCACTCTGTAGCTGGATGTGAAGTGTGGTGAAGGGCTCAGTCCTGATCATATAGTGCATGACGCCGGCAGCATTGGAGTAGTGTGTACCATAGTGGAACTTATCAATAGTGCCTGTAGAGTCCTCAAAGCTCTCATACCTGCAGAGACAAGTTAGCATAGATACGCATTAAATCACTGCCAAGGTATTTTGAAGAAACCAGAGTTCCCCCAATGTGATCATGTAAGGGGTCACTGAACAAGATCTTAAAAGTAATGCGCAGTGCAGACACATCCCCCCAGACACACAGGAACACACACCAAGCTGGTCTTTCAAACCCGATGAAACACAAAGGCAAACCAGTAGAGACGCAGAGACATTTAGCAAAGAGGTTAACTGTTCTGAGAGAGGTGGCGAGCAGTTCACAGAAGGACAGAGGGAACAAAAGGCTCTCACTTCTCTCGGACTTCCTGTGCGTGCCGGGGGTTGACGACGCCGATGGGTTTGGACAGGTCCCTGAACACAGCCGGGTCATCGAGGTCCAGAGTTTCGGAGGTGTAGTCGCACAGCACCCAGGGGAACTACGAGGAAACCCACACTGAGAGACTGACGGACAGCCTGACTAATACACAAATACTGTATGGTGCACCTCAACTTGCATTCCTATATCATGCCTCAAGCAAGGAATTCCAGGGCACTTTACAATAAAATCGCCAGCTCGGAATCAGCTCAAAAAGCTCTGAATTAAAAGATTAATTTGAGCCTGTGATAAGAAACCTAGAAACTGATGCCCTTGGTCCTGGTTTTATGCAGGTAGAGGGGAAGTCAGGAGTTCTCCATCTACTCGTCTCGGTGTGGCTTAGGACACACAACAACGATTGATCCAAAATATCTGGGTCCAGAGTCGTGAATGTCCTTGGAAGTTCTGAGCAAATCTTATGTATTAAAAATTATATCAGTCCTATGCAGATCTTTAGAAAAAGAGCAAAGGCTGAAGAATGGAAGAATTGTGTTGACAGCGCAGACACTGAAATTAATCTTTACTTCTTCCTTTGCAGCCAATACAGGCTGTCACACCTCCCCACTCCAACTGGAGCTGGTGTATTCCTGGATCATGGAGGACGGGATAAAGGCATCACAGTAGTCTAACCAGGGCACGACAATACAGAACTGGCAAGGCTACACACCACTCGGCCTACAGACACTGGGGCACAGTCAACATAGACATTAAAGGGGGACTGTAATGCTATTTTTATATTCTGAGGTTAGAAAGAATCAGCATCTATGAGCGCGTTTCAAATCACAATGGAAGTACACAATGGAAGTACACGATAACATGTAAAACCTAAACTTTGTGATACCTTCAATTTATTTTGTTACCGAGATGTAATAACTATCTGAGAAATTGGGACTGTAGTTCTCTTTTAAGACAGATGGACAGAAAGAACCTTACCACAGGGTACTGCGAGAGGTCATTGTAGGTGCGGCCGGCAATGGTATTGAGCTGCATCAGGTACTCAAAGTTGGAGATCTCCCTGAACACCCATTTCTGGAACAACAGAACAGCACTGTGGCATCATCAACACACTTATCATACCTGCATCACCAGCAGGGAACTATCTCCCTCTCCATTAATCTCTGTCTCTTGTTCCGTCTCCTCAGTCCTTTTCTCTGGTGATCTTTACCTCTTTTCTCTTTCCCTCGGTCTCTATCGCACCATGATTATCTGTGTCTCAATCTCTGGCCTCTCTAGTTACCGGCAGCCATATCACCTTGCAACTCACAACTGGCAGCCCACTGAAGCTCAGCAGGTGTGAGCCTGGTCAGTACCTGGATGGGAGACCTCCTGGGAAAAACCTAAGGTTGGTGCTGGAAGAAATATTAGAGGGACCAGTAGGGGGCGCTCACCCTGCAGTCTGTGTGGGTCCTAATGCCCCAGTATAGTGACGTGGACACTACAGGTTAAAAAGGCGCCATCCTTTGGATGAAACGTAAAACTGATGTCCTGAGCCTCTGTGGTCATTAAAAATTCCAGGTTTTTTCGCAAAAAGAGTAGGGGTGTAACCCCGGCATCCTAGGCTGCCGTCGCATCATCCAGGTGGGGCTGCACACTGGTGGTGGTGGAGGGAAGTCCCCGTTACCTGTAAAGCGCTTTGAGTGGAGTGTCCAGAAAAACGCTATATACAGTAAGTGTATAAGTACTATTATCACGTTCAGATATATTATGGCCACAAGGCATTGGACAAGTGTTGCGAAACATATTATAATATTCTGCTACTGTACACTGATTTATCAACAGCGTACTGATCAGCAGTGAGAAACACTCTCTGCAAGGCTGTGACCTCAGTTACGAGAGCTGTAAAGGTATAGATCTAATCTGCAATAGTTTACTTTCTTTACCTGTGTACCCCGATTCACTCTTCCTCACCTGTGTTAGCCCCGAGGCCTTCAGCAGATCCTGGGGAGACCGGGATCCAAAGTAGAAGAGGTTGGGGGGCCGCAGTCCCAGGATCCGAGAATACACTTTGTTACGGACCTGCGTAGGGGGACAGATCCACAGACACTAATTCTGATAGATAACCAAATATGAGTACTCTCTCTAAGAGCTTAATCCAAATGCTACAGGGTAATTCCACAGTAGACAGTGCAAAGAAGAATCACAACATTTCGGTGTTGAGCATAACTGAAGAAGGATCAGTATTGTGTCTCTCCTTTCCATTTTTCAGCATGGAATTAACCTTTACTTGTTCCTTTGCAGGCGACACCAGCTGATGCAACTCCACACCTGAACTAATCCACAGGGTGTCTGGTCCAAATAAAGACTACCGAAACAGATCCTTCTGTTTTCAGTGACTGCTTCATCCTTAGACAGTAAAGGTCAGTCTAACTCAGTCAAATGGTGCATGGTAGGACCACACCCCGGAGGGGCACACACGTACATTCACAGGGCAAAGCAGAGATGCCAATTAGCCAGCATGGTCAGCATGGGATGGACTGTGGGAGTAATGCAAAGAACCCAGAGTAATTGCCACACAGGTAGAGCCAAATTGCAGTGCAAAAGGTCCTCGGCCTATCACAATGTAGAGATGCCCATGAACCTGATGCCATTAAGTCAGTATGGCATGGACTGTAGGAGGAATGCAGAGAACCTACAATACAGAGAAGCCACAATATAGGCATCATTTCTCTTAATTACACCATAGTTGAATATACTGTAAAATGAAAGTGTAAGCTCAATTTGTCTGGTTAATTCTTGCCTGGGGACAACTAGGACAACTCTAAATCCAAGCATATGAACTACCACAGCAGTACACTGTAACAGAGCACCGTTCAGTGTGTCCCACGGAGGACAGAGGGGTCAGCGTGGCACGGGAGAGACAGAGGGCACTGTGCTGTTCAAGAAAGGCACCTTCTTCTTGAAGTTGATGAAGTAGTGTGCCTGGTCATTAAAGAACAGCTCCAGGGCGGACCGCCGCAGGTTGTAACGTCGCAGATGGACCTCCCTCAGCTGGGATAGTGGACGCTTGAAATCATACCCAATACCTGAAAGGGAAGGGAAAGGAAAAAGTGTAAAAATGCTCTACAGGACTGTGTTTTGGCAAGGCATTCGGAGCCAGGAGCCCTTGAGAGCCTCAACATTGGAACCTAGGAGCTTGTCTAGATCAGAAACCAAGGTCTTTAGTGGATCACCAGGAGTTTGTAAGAACAAATGATACATCTCCCTGCGAAGCCTCCCTTCTTTTCCTCAAATTGAAAGTTTGTCAATTCACACCAGGTGAATTCACACACAGGAAAGGGGAAAACGGGTCCCTGATGCCAGAGTCAGCAGGGTTGTGGGTCTTTATCAGAGGCTGTGGCTCGGGCCTGGCACTCTGCTTCAGGGGCTTAATCAGCTGTACCGCCTTCATTCACGATCTCCCCACAGCCCCTGGAGCTTCCGCCCTCACCCTCCTCTGTCTCCTCCTTTTCACTGGTGCCGTCGTAGAAGTACAGGTGGTGCGTGGTGACCTCCAGACGACCCTGGATCACGGCCACGATGGTGATGAGCTCGCACTCTTCTGACAGGACCAACTTCTCCTTCTGGTTCTCTTCGTCCACCTCCGTCCTGAGGGAGACGGGCAGGGGGGAGGAGTGTGGAAGAGCCGTACCGGGCCACAAAAGAAGTGGAGAGGAGGTGTTGATACGACTGTTAGAAGTATCTATGAAGTGCCTTGCAAAGATATTCACCCCCTTCTAATGACATCCCATTTTGTTGAATTACAAAATAACAAACATTTTTTTTTAAAGCGACTAAAACTGAACACTTTTGTGGGCCTGGGAAAATGTAAACATCAGCAAAAACTGCAAAGAAAAATAAAAAAATATATCGATGGCACAAGTATTCTCCATCTTTGCTATGACAAACTGACATTTGTGCAAGTGCATGGGACTATTCTGACAAGTTCACTTACTGAGTGGCCACAGTCTCTGTGAATGAATAGCCGTTCACACGACTTCAGAATCACATGACCTCCCATAAATTGAATAGAGGGCCCTTAGTCAGGGAGTGAATGGCAAGCAAAGATTTAACCGTGAAGACAAAAGGAGCTTTAAAAACAACTCAGGGATAAAGTTGTGAAAATATTTAAAAGCACAGAGAAGTCGATCATTAAGAAATTACATTCTTCAAGAGAAATTATTTTTGAGTTTATAGTGAAAATCCTTGGTTGAACCTCATTGTCCTGATACTTTTGGAGGGCACTATCTGTTGCGGCAGAGCTGGAATAGGGATCTAACTATTTTGCAGGTACAATGAAGTACAATTTAGCTATAGAAACAATTCTGCAGATCCACAATAAAAACATGACTGTGCTGCTGTGCCCAGTGACTCACTGATTGTCCAGGTAGACCAGGTCCTCGTCGCCCAGCTGGTCGTCCTCCATGTCGCTGACTTTCGCCTCCTTCGCTACGGCAAGTGGCAGCGGCTCCGCGAGGCTGCGGTTATCTGTGCCTGCAGACACAGCCAATCCGAGGATCAACACACTCCCGAGGAACACTGCGTCTCCGACGCTACACCTACAGCAGCAGGGTGCTCTGGTGTGAGGATGGTTCCACGTTTCCTAAGCGCGGGCAGCCTCACATACCCATGTTGTCTCTCAGAGCGCTGGCCTCTCTGTGCGAGTCAAAGTTGTAGGTGGGAACCAGCTTCAGACGCATCTTGGAGTACGTCTCCGCGCTGGACAGCTTCCAGTGCACCTCCGGCTGGATCCTGAATGATGGAGACGGGGAGGGAGGAGAGACAGATTGAAACACCCAGGCAGAAAAGAGATGCGACGGGATATTGAGCCAGTTAGCAAAATGAACAGAAACACAGAGAAAGACAGAACAAATAGATGGAGAGACAATCCGAGATCAGAGAAGCAGAACGCCTGGTGAAAATGTAGTCATATTACAAAACAGTTCATATCAAAGGACCGCGGCACAGTGGAGCAGTGATGGGAGCCTGGGTTCAATTCCTGGGCTGGTATCTGCTTGGAGTTTGTATGTTCTCAACATGTTTGTGTGGATTTCCTCTGGGTGCTCCGGATTTAGCCCACAGTCCAAAGACATACAGATAGGTTAATTCACTTCTGATAGAACTTGCCAAGGTATTAGAGTGTGTTTGCATCTGCCCTGCAATGGATTGGTGTTCCATGCATGTTGCTTGCTGGGCTAGCATCCCATTCTCCTGCCACCCAAAACTGGATGAAACCGTTAGAAAATGGATAATATAAAAACAATGGATGATTAGAGCAGAAGTGAGCTGGACAGAAACACTGGCACTGGAGTTATACAAGCTGAAATACAGTTACAGATACAGGGGCTGGGGTGGACAGACTGACAGGCATCCTCACCGCAGTGCCCAGGCGCCCCTCTCGCTGGTCAGCTGTCTGCGCAGGGCCTTCCACTGACGCAGCACGGCAGCCTGCTGGCTGGCCGCCTGTTTCAACGCGCTGTAATATCGGGTGTTCTCACTGCGCACGCGGCGCAGGCAGGGCTCCACTATCACCTCCTGCCAGACACAGAGAAAGCGTGTTACAGCAACACCGAGAAAGCAAGAACACAGACTCCAGCAACACAGTGGGATGCAGAGACAGGGAGAGAGCGTAAGACAGTGGAGTTAAAACAGCCATGTGACAGCCATGGGTAAAGATCATTAGAAAGAGACAGAGCAACTGGATTGAGTACCTGGAATCTGGCCTTGCTGTGTGCACGGTCTTTGTCCCGGCGCTGGGCCGTGCTCATTAGAGCATCATAGCAGGAGTTCCAGAAATTAGACATGAGGTCGTGACTCTTCCCAAAGGTGTCTAGCTCATACTGCTGCATGGTGGGCTGCACCTGGAGAGAGAGACACACACCCACACACTCAGGTACCAATTCGAGGTCAAATAATTCCCAGGCCTTATCGATGAATAGACAGCAAAACAAGGCTCTGTTCCCAAGACATCAACTTTACGTACACTTTAAATACATATTGGATAATCTAGCTTTGCTAACATGGGAAAACTTTGTATTAAACTCTCAATTAAATACTACAGTTTTAGTTTAGACTGCTGACCAATTTCTAATTCAAGAGCATAGAAGCACCGAATGCTACACAGGAACACTTCACATTTAATTAAACTGAAATTAAGCTCTGTATGCCACCATACATACTGTATCTAATTACATGGTATGTCTCTTATGATTAGTATTATTTCACATTATAGTAATACATTGCTCATTACAACTTTTATTCATGACATGAGACTGATTCTATATAAAGTCTCTGTATGGTGCTGAAGAGTAGAGACCATGAGCACATAAGAAAGGCTAAAGACTCGTTCATTCAGAGGTTGCTGTTTGGTTCCTAGTAGCTATATGGTACACGGATATCATTCTGCTGTTTCTCAAAAGAAGGCAGGGTATTGCCTTCAACAACATATCTGGGTTTTTTGTTCCAAACCCCCAAGTACTTCTTGTTATAAAAGTGTTTCCCTAGATGTGGAGGGGTAGAGTGCACTGTACAATATCATCGAAGAGTATGGGTTGTGAAACAAATCTCCTAACTTTCTTTGAGCGATCAAAATATTCACACCAACTTAACCACATGGAAGATTGATCCTCAAATACATCAGCAGAGGAGATCAAGGTCTTGTACTGTAACACTGGAGTACCACACGTATCGGTATAAGGTCCCTTAATCCTCACAATGATGAATGGCTCTCACAGACAGCCATCTTACCGTACAGGGTTACAGCTGTAAACCAAGCTGAAAACTACTAGTAACTCCAAGTTATGTGGGAGTTGCTTTCCTAGATTACAAGAACAGACACTTTGCATTGCAAAAAGAGACACTGACATGGTGCGTGCTGAAGTCCTTCCATTCCTGGGTGCAGATGTATTGCTGCAGGTCCTGAGTGAAGGTGGCGCTGCCGTTGGTGGGGGGCAGGGAGGGTAGTAGGGCATGCAGGGCGGATGGGTCAGCGTGCTGGTCCAGCAGTGTCCGCATGATGGGCACGAGCTGCGAGAACGCCTCTGCTCGCCCGCCCTCCTCCAGGGCCTGCAACAAGGGGGCCCCGAGGCGTCCCAGCAGGAAGCACACTTCCTCCCAGACCAGGCAAAGCACTGTCTGCAGCAAGCTGTGCAATTTCACGCAGGCCATAGCAAACACCTGCACAGGGAGAGATGGGCCGGATTGACATCTGTAGTACAGTGCGGGATGAACATCACTACAATTATATCAGCCACAACTCTAACTTAGGCATGGTAATGCCTCTAAAATGAATCAACTCCACTTGGTTAGAGATAAGGAAAATAAATAATAAGTACTGGTACACAACGTCAAGAAGCTACAAATCTTTGGAGAAAACTAAGTCTTGTTGTTGATGTGGAGAAAGCCAGTAAAAGGGTACAGACAGAAGGTAGCGGTATTAAAATGAATGTCTCAGAGACTCAATGTCTTATTAATTCTTAAATTAAATGTACTAAAGACTGTGAAAGGAGGATCTCCCACACGCAAGCTCGCGTCAGGGCCCAGACCTGGGAGTGCTGCTGCTGGATGTATCCGGTGATGATGCGGAGACCAATCTGAGCCATCTCCCGCAGCTCTGGCGGCCCCGGGGAGCCGTACCAGGCCTGCAGTCGGTCCATGAGGTTCACCACTCCTTCAAAGATCTGCCGCAGGAGGGAAACACACAGGGTCAGGCACAGGGCCTGCAACAACTACTACTAAGAAACAGTTAAACAGTTAAGATGCGCTCCACCTTCCCAAAGAGGTAGCACGTACTGTATGGTCAACAATCCAGATGACTGCTCATCTCCTCCATAATTTGTCCTGGGACGGGAGTTACAATTACTGAAACACAGGCTTTTATTTACACCCACCCACTCCAGAGATGCAGGCATCACCAGAGGATCTTAAACCTGCAGGATTAAGAGGGCGTGCTGAGTGGAGGTGAAGGCTCTGGACTCCTAACTATAGGGTGTGGGTTTAATTCCCCCCTTCTGGTGCTGTTGTTGCATCAATGAGCTTTAACCCTGATTGCTCTTGTTTACTTAGTTGTACCAACAATTGTCCAGTACCAATGTGCTGAAGAGTCACCTGAGGTACCCTTCAACAATGCTGCTACCCTGGGATGGACTGTTACTCTGGAGAAAGAGTGCAGCTCTCAGTACACTTTACACTACAGAAAACAGGATAAGCTCCAGCCTAATAAACATCATAGAGGAGTCTATCCTCCTTGACTGCCACCCTCCAATCCCACAAGACTCTCCCCCTCAGTACCAGTTTCCCAGGGACTGTACCCCCTTATTCTCAACACCTCTAGTGCCTACTCTCTGATCCAGAGGAGGGAGAGAAATAAGAAGAGATATTTCAACCTTTACATATGTCTACTGCTTCAGTCCCAGACAATCTCAGATGTTGCGATCTGGAACCCTTCAACAGTTGCACAATGGGAGCTCGTTGTCCATTCCTCAATCATCGGCGTTCCCCCTCTGCCTCTTCTCGTCGGGCCTTACCTTCTCGCTCCACAGCGCCTGGTTGTCCGTGCCCTCTGCAAACAGGAAGTCCTGCAGCAGACGCAGGAGGCGCACGATGGAAAGGCAGTGTCCAGTTGGCGAGGTGCCCACGCTGTCCCTCAGGTCAGTGAGGGATGACTCCAGCATCATCTCCAACAAACTGAGACAGAGGGAGGGAGTCAGTTGGAAAGCGCAGATGGAGAGAAAAACCGAGAGACGCCTTTTTCAGCCTCACTGATACAAGAAAGGGGGAGGGGCAGACAAAAACACACACGGACATGGTGAGGAAATTAATTCAAGTCAAAATCCTGACTTGGAGGGCAAACTCCCTGCACCTGCGCTTGATGTCATCTGGTGGGCGCACCAGCTGACAGGAGGAACCAAGCTTGGTCAGCACGGAGAAGACCTGCCCCCTCTCGCGCCACACAGCGTCCTCGCTGCCCTCTGCCCCACTCCACATCACGGAGAACACGATATTCGTCAGTAGGTTACACAGTTCCTCCTCTGGGGTTTGCTGGAGGGGAGAGGAGAAGTTGGACAAGTATGGGGATTGATTAGTGCTATTCTGACACATCGGTTTGTTCTACAGAAAGTCAATGTACCTGTGAATCAGCAGAATAACTGAAATGGCATGAAAAGAATTAAGCCAAACTAAAGTATCAGACAGCCAATGTATTTTACTAGGTCAGTGAGGAGCAGCAAAAGCACTTAATCAGTTAATAACAGTAGGTTAGTGGTGCTAGAGGTTGTACAGGTAGTACTCGTGGGTTACAGGTGTTAGAGGTGTTGTACTGTCAGTTCCGATGGGTTACAGGTGTTAGAGGTGTTGTACTGTCAGTTCCGGTGGGTTACAGGTGTTAGAGGTGTTGTACTGTCAGTTCCGATGGGTTACAGGTGTTAGAGGTGTCGTACAGTCTGTACCGGTGGGTTACAGGTGTCAGAGGTGTCGTACAGTCAGTACCTTTGGGTTACAGATGTTAGAGGTGTTGCAAAGTTAGTAACCATGGGTTACAGGTGTTAAAGGTGTTGTACAGTCAGTTCCTGTGGGTTAAAGGTATTTGAGGTGTCATATAAACAGTACCTGTGGGTTAGAGGTGTTAGAGGTATTGTCCCCAGGTGGGACCTCTGTGCCATAGCTGCCATCATCCAGAATGTTGGAAAGGCTGGAGCTCTTTCGGGCGCGAAGACCAGGGAAGGGCTTGCAGTTATCGAGAGGGGAGGGGGTGTCAGCTTGGCTTACTGGGGTTTGTGATCCAGTGCCTCCCCCACCTGCACCCCCTCCTAGCTCCAGCCCTAGGTCGAAGGGTGAGCCACTAAAGGGGGAAAGGGGGTGGTAAAGGCCCTGTTCCTCATCTGCCCGGTGGCCTGGTATGTCCACAGTATTGGAAATGGAGGACGACTGGCTGGCCAACTCTGCCGAGTCAAAAGACTTGAAGTTGAGCGAGTTTCCAAAGTTCTTGAGCTGGCTGCCACCAACGGGAGACAGCGAGAGGTCAGAGAACCCCTCTGAGACAGACACATCCGGCGGGTCCTCTTCCTCCTCCTCTTCCACCCTCAGCTCGTATGGCAGGAAGACCTCATGTGCCGGCTCTTCCAGCACCATGCTGTCCTGCCTCAGCAGGCTGGGCTGGGCCGTCTCCAGCGACGAGGCCGGGCTCAGCCCGGACTGGCTGGCAGCGCGGGACTCGTAGGACTCCTTGACGTAGAGCTTGGTGAGCACGTCCTGCCAGCCGGGCTGGCGTGCCAGCTGCTTGACGTTGTCCTCGCTGGAGTAGATGAGGTGAAACAGCTGGAGGCAGAGAGGAAGGTCATCAGGCTGTAAGCAAGGGCAGTGAGCCTAAACGCACACCCGTCATCCACTAATCACTCCCAGACAGACATGTCACACTCTCTCAAAAGTCTTTTTTCTACACTGTAACCAATTCTTGGCTTGATCCCGCGTGACTGGGATTCCCAGGACTTTCAGTATGAGAAATTAATAAATTTTTGTTTAAAATTAATAATTTAAGTTTATCCTCAAAGAATTTCTGCAAATGTAGATGTCTAACTTTACATGTGCCAGTACATCACATTGTAGAGCCATTGGAATGAAACTGAGAGACATCTTGTAATGTTCAAGCATGTTAGTTTTTTTCACTCAGTGGCTATGTGGTAAAATTGTTTACTAACAGAGGCAAGTAGTTTAAAGGGATTCTACTTAGTGAAACAAAACTTAATATATTTTTGTCTTTGAAAAGAAAAATGCTAACAGAAATAATTCATTCCCGTCTACCATGACATGAATATGGAGTGTGAAATGTTAAGGCATGTGCTCTTTGGCGTAGATGGAGAGGCAGTGTGGGTGATTCAGTGAGTACCCCGGAGGTGGCGATGTTGAGAACGAGGCAGTCACTCATACTCTTTGGAGTTGGCCTTACCTTGCGGCAGACGTCAAGGCGCACAGCCAGGTCAGCCCGGTGAGAGAGATACGCCACGGCCAACAGGTCCCTGAAGTTAGGAGTGGAGTCTGACGGAAGGAGAAAGAGACAAAAAAGGTGTTGAGGTGTAACAAGGCCACCAAAAACTGAAGGCTTTTCTCTCAATCTTGACACAGTTAAGGGCTCCAGTGGAGAGACATTACTATTTTTTTTTATTACTGCTTTCAATCGAGCCCCTCATCCCCAATATTTCCCCCCATTTCTTATAAACCCTCTGTGTCCACCCACCCTCATCTCCATCTCCACCTTCTCCCTCCAAAACTCTCTTTTCTCTCTACTGTTCACCTCCCAGTCCCACAGTTAGTCTTTTGCCTTTCCTCTCTCCTTTTGTTTAGCTCTCACTTTCTACCTCTTTTCTTCCTTTCTCCTTGTGCCTCCTTTCTGTCCATCCTATCTATCTCCCCGTCTCCACGTTTGTCACCCGGTTTTCAGCCTGTCCCCCTGTCACTAAGTGTGGTTACCTGTAGCGAGAACTTGCTCATAGAGGCAACGGATGGTTGTCAAGGTGACGGGGATGTCACCCAGGCTGCAGACCAGACCCAAGTACCCACAGTCCCTCAGCTTCAAGCGGTGTTTGCCGCGCTCAGACACACGCTCATACTTCAGCATCTTATACAGGATCTGAGAGAAGGGAAGAAAGAGGGGTTGAGAGGAAAAGAGGATATGCGAGGAGAGCAGATACCAGGGGGGGGATCAGTGGATGACAATCATAGCTTTAAAAAGAGGACACTGTTGAATGTCTTATGTCCTAATAAGTGAGCTAGCCACAGCGTTTGAGCAGCCAGCAGACCCTGCCATCAGGCGATATGATAAAGAATTCCTGCTCTATGCTGATGAGCATGGGCTGCAGCTAAGGGCAGATTGTGTCTGGAGGGAAAGGAACATTACCACATTGTACAGGAGAAAAAGGGGACAAATGCAGCTGAACTGAGTGCAGAGCAATAACACTTCAACTCCAACTATTTTAGGTAGCCTGGTGTAGGACTCGCGAGCTGCGTAAGTTATTTAATATAACATAGAAGGGAAACCGTCGGGGTGTGTTGGCTGAATCTGCACAAGGAGACTTAAACACTGCGACTGGCACCCCCGACAGGAAGTGTAGTGGGTGGGCACAGGTGCGTTGAGGCCTCTCACCCGGAAGACTCTCTCCCTCACGCCGTCTCCGAAGGCGCCGTTGAGCAGCAGACAGTAGAGTGGTTCCACCCCCGAATCCAGCAGCACAGCCAGCAGCTGGTCCCGGGGCGGGGAGGAGCGCAGGAGGCTGTACAGCATGTCCAACACGCTGATCACCTGCAGGCAGGGCAGGGACACAAGACGCCCATCATTTCACCTCGCCAGAAGCTGCTCCGCCCGATAAATGCCAATAAAAGGCACCCTGAACTGGGGAAGGACACACAGGAAGAGCTTCATTTCTCGCCACATTCTCTCGTCTTAAACTCAAGTAAGAGTTTGGGCCCAGAAAGTTACACGAGTCAGATTTCACCCTTGAGCCTCATGCACATTTACAGTTTTCTACTGTGATGGCAGTGCATCCCTCAGCACATGAACACGTAGTACTTTGTACTACATCAAATATGCTGTAGTCAGCAATAACATGTAACAAATGTGGATTAAAGACTAAAAATCAAACCAAAAAAATTAAAATCATGGTTTAAAAAAGCTAGAGCTATTGAAGGAAGCACTACGCAGGTCTGTGTAGGCTCCACTTACCTCTGTAAATCTGAACGTTTCATAAATGGATATGACCAAAAATGTATATCACAGTATAATTTTAATTTTGGACCATAATGATATACATCAGGATACAGAAGTTTTGCTCATACTTTTAATAGAACATGCTTTAAAAGCAGTACATGACTTGGTTGGCAAGTTTTTATTGCCTGAAATTAACTATTAGGTCTGAACCAGCAAGACGAACATTTTCAGAATTATATCTTTTTAATTAATCTTTTTCCCAGACTAAAATATCGGTCCGACCGGGATTTATAAAATTCCAAAAATTGTCCGGGATTTTCTTTTGCTCATTACTTAGACTGTGTAAACAAACATAGGCCTACATATTTTCCTTCGTTCCATGCATTACCGGTAGATGTTTTGAACTTACATGCAGCGTATGCAGCGCAGCTTGAAAACAGTTCTTGTCTGTGTGGCTGTTTTTATGGCCATGAGAAATAACAATGTTTAACTTGTTTCATTATATTTCAAAATGTTTCGTTAAAATTGATCATTTTTGCAACCAATGCGAACGTCTCCTAAGTTATGATGTCTTAATTTTTTCCTCAGATGTTCAGACTTTTGTTGTGTTAAAATAAAAATAA